CTTTGGCTCTCAGGCAACATCATTAAGATGGCAATTTTTACTTTTGGATTTCTTTAGAAGTAAGTTCTTGATTGCTTTGATTTACAGTACTCTAGGAAAAGTTATAGAAAGTGAAGAATATATGAAAAAAATGCAGATATCCAAAGTCCCAGCACGCAGCTCACACACTGCTTCCTGGAGCAGTGAGAGTTGTTCGAGATGGTAATCCAAACAGTGACCTAGACTGGGGAACATGAGCAGGGCAGTGTCACCTCACAGTAAGGCAAGTGGTTTCAGAAGGGGTCAAATCCTAGAAGACACACGAGAGTGACAACAGAAGAACCAGCACAGGCCTCACCATAACAAGAATGAACTCCACTTCCCCAGCACCATAGCCAAGAGTAGAACTGGGAGAACTCGGCTCATCCTTAATGGTACACACCAAATCAACAATTTGAGAACATCAGAAAACTGACTGCAATCACGCACCACAACCTTCCATTTTCATTTAAGGAGATGCCTCTAAAAAGAATGCTGGAAAGTAGTAGAAACACAAGGAGAACCTATCCACAGTGAATTTCACAGCAAAGATTCAAAAACTTTTATGTGTTCCAATGTGATTGGAAACATGATACAAAAGCCTACACAATACTTGTTGGCTTACAATACAAAGGCCAAAACTCTCTGGAAAATAACTTTGAAACCAGCTGCTCTATAATATGAACAAAATACGATTACTGTGAAGAAAGACAAAGTAAAATAAGATATAAATGGAAACAATAAAATGGAGGGTTGAAAGGTACAAACATAAAAGAGCTGAATAAAATTGGGACATTAAAATTTAATTATAAAATTTAATTTGCATGGCAAGCAACAGTAAGAATAATCAACAGAGGACCCAGTACACACATAGAATATTCCCTATGAATCTATAGGCTTTTCTGGATCCTTTTTACTCTCCAAAGACTGTTGCTGGAAGGAAGACCTCAAGGGTGGTCCTTGGGAGAACACTAGCACGAAGCTAGGCTGCATTTCTTACAGGCCATTCCAGCAAGATTTCTCAGGAAATCCTCATCAGTAAAAGGAAGATACTCTCAAGGCTCTAGTTCTCATGGTCCTCTTCCAGCCTATACTCTCCAACAGATTAAGAGCACAAAAAATATACCCCCAAGTGATCAAGGGAAGTCTCTGGTTTTACTACATGCTAAGCTGTGCTTTCAAGTAATCAAAATAACACCATTCCAATTTTGGAAGTCTTGGGCAAATCAGCCAAATCTTGCACAGAGCTTGGCAGAAAATAGGCAGCCAACAAATGTATAATAAAAAACCAGTGGGTGAAAAGTTTAGTTGGCCCATCTCAGGGAATGATCTAGAATTGGGAGCCATATTTATTTTGCCAAGCCCAAGTACCAAGCTAAACAAAGTACCAAGTGCTGATGAAGATCAAAGTATGTGAACATGGGGAGCAGGACACCGTTCCCTGCTCATCCAGAGCCCTGAGCAAACGAGGGACTGCTCAACAGCAGGGTTCCTGGTTGAACTTTACTGTTTGGGAGAATCAGCAGTACCATTCTGAACTTGTGCTTAGCTCCTGCTCTGTGGCCATCTCTCAGTTCTGACTGGATCTCAGTTTGTATTCTAGTCCATCTGCAATGTCCTCCTAGCAAAGGCAGCTGGCCTCATGACTTATAGCTGCATGCTAATACACTTTCATGACATCTCTCAGATTTTCATGATTATTTTCTCATCCTTAGGAAAACTCAGAAGACAAGAAGGCAAATATCTTGGTTTGAGAGTCACTAAGCATGCTGATAAAAGTAAGATCATTTCATAACCACATTTTCTTCTTCTTTTTTTTTTTTTGCTCAGCACAAATGAGCTAAGGCGGTTTTTTTTAGATTAGCAAAGCAACCTAAAATGTCAGATTTCTTTTCATTAGTGTCACCTTACATAATATTCTGTTGCTTTGAGATTTCTCTGCCCCTTCAGCTCCCCCAGATCCAGGTGGTTACAAAGTCCTGCTGTCTCTCCCCCTTGCAGCTCGTCCTCTCCTTGCCCAGGTCTCAGGGCAGCGAGCTGGCTGAGCCCTTTGTGGGGTGTGCTCTGCCTCATCTACTGCTGCTGTGCTCTTCCTCAGTGTCTCTGCAATGAAAGACACACTGCACCCTGTGGGTAGGGTTGCCCTCCTAAAGCTGGGATCTGACCTCGTTATACCTTAGTCGACTGCACTTTTTTTTTCACGTTTTTTAATGGTATCAACAGGAAAGCACCCCTCCATCATTGTATTAATAATTCTGCTCAGACCATGGGGTTCCACGCACTAACTCCAGCTTTACTCCACTCCTATGTGTCTCTGATCGCTATCCTTAGAGACAAGCATGGGATCCAGGCCATCTGGATCCATCTGTCTCTGAAAATGTGACTAGCCCGAGATTGAGAAATGAGTCATGTGAATGACCAACAAGGAATCTGTGCAAAACTCTCAAAAGATACACTCTCTCCAATGATCACAGAGGCGAAGAACTCCGGAGGCTGCATCTATACAGGATACTCCCACAAAGTGCCAGCACTGAGGTCAGGAGAGGTCACACACAAGCAGAAGCTAAAGGGAGGTGGTGGACATCAGTACAAACAACGTAAAGATGCTCCTGACGTCCCAGACCTGCCATCTTGGATTTACTAACCAGGTGAGCAAAGAAATAAATGCAGGGTTCCCCGCCCCCCCCACCCTCTCTGAATTAATCTTCTACACATTTCTGCATGTAGACGAAACATGAAATGCACAGAATGCCAACACTTAAAATTTTCAAAGCAGCTTCTTGTTTTTTAAAGAAAAAAAAAAAACAGTAACTTCTCCAACACAATATTCAAGATTCTAACCAAAGATACCCAGTTAGCTTTTGAGCTTTGGCTCTCCTTTTATAAAAGGCCTCAAGTAGTTCTTTCAAATGCTAAAATCATGATGATCACAGACTGAATACCTGGGGCTAGAATCTCCACAGAATTTATTTCTGTATCTGATGCCACTGAGAGTGATATTTTTTCTAAGTCTGAAATACTCTTCCTCTGTGTCCTTCATTACTCAGTCTTACAGCTGCAGCCAGGGTTAAAGGATTAGATGGTAATAATATATTTTACATGACAGCTTCCACATGTATACAGATCTTGTCTTGCAAGAATTTCATAAGAGAAAATAAAAGGAAACTTTTTCCCAAGTTCAGTCTCTTACCATTCAAGTATCTGTTTTGGAATCCAGACCTTCCACAGATGTTTGCAGCTCTGGTCAGAAACGAGAGACTGAGGCTGCCTACCTGTCAGATGCTTAACTCATTCTCCACTTGACCTTAGCCAAAAGGCCGAGAAGCAATGCTTAATTCAGTCTAAATGAGGTCACTGCGAAGACTCAGCTATTACACTCCTGGCATTTATCCCAAAGGAACAATTTACACTCACAAAGAAGCCTAAACATGAACACTCACACTGCAGCAGCTTTATCTGCAATAGCCCCCACCTGAGATGTCCTTCCGTGGGCAAAGGGTGACACACACTGTGCTATGCCCATCCAGCAAAATGCTCACCCAGCAAGAGCAGAGGACAACTTACTGTTGCATGCAACACCGCAGTCCTGAACGCTGACTCAATGGGAAATCCCAAAAGGTTACCTACTGCATAATTCTATTTATATAACTGTCTTGAAATAACAAAACTATAGAAATGAAGAACAATTGCCAGTTGCTATTAGGGATGGCGTGCAAGGGGGCAGGTAAGGCATATGAGTATAGCCATAAAAGGGCATCACAAGGCTGTCGGGACAGAAATGCCCTGCACCCTGAATGCACCAACATTAATATCCTGGTTGTGATGCTGCATACAGTCTTGCAAGATGTTACCCACTGGAAAATCATGCATAAAGTACATAGTACCCTTCCTGATTATTGTTTATAACTGCACATGGACCTGTAAGCACCTCAAAATAAAAAGTTCAGTTTTCAAAAAATGAACCATATTTCCCAGTTAATCATTTCAAACAATAGGTCTTATCCTAACTGGTAATAGAACCTCCAAATAACTGAGTAGCCCTCCTAACAAAACAAAGGACATAGAGAACAACGTCATGATGGGTGATGTGAGAGAGACTTTTTCCCGTCCATTGGGGTGCTAAACACATAAGAGGTACTAACAAGAGAACTGCCTCAGCCCAAAACACTCAGCTGGCACTCCAAGTGACGGCCCCTCCTCACAAGCGCACAGCCTGGGCTTCCATGGGGGTGACTAACAGTCACCAATCTGAAATCCGATCTGTCTGCCATTTAGATCCATGTGACTCACTGAGGTTGGCTTGCATTCATATCTAAAAATACAGGAAATCTGCAGCCTAAGCAGATTTGGCTCATGGGTTCCTGTGTTTCTGATTTGAACACAGCCTGTTGGGAGATAGTGGTTTTATGTTTATATCAGCCAGTGGCCAAGGAGGCTCTGCTGCTCAAGTGACAGGGACTAGGCTGAAATCTAGAAGTAAAGAGGATCCTAAGATTGATCTGCTTATACACATTTTTATCGGGGAGTTATATGACACCTCCTCAGGAAAGGCAATGCGAACTACTGCGAGGGCTTCTGCAGGCTAGAATAATGCCCTTCCTTGGGCACTGGGTGTGTCCCATTAAATACCTGGCCCAAAAGAGGACAGAAGGAGTCATGAGCCATTCAAGACAGTGTAGGGTGTGGAAGTCATATGAGTGACCAAGCGCCACTTAGACTGGCAGTGGCCGAGTCTACAAAAAGGGAGGGCGTGGTGCTTTGGACCAGGCAGTTTTAATTTGTCCGGTCCAACTTGGAACCTTCTCCAGTGGTCCCTGCAGTCATGACAACGACAAAGAGGGTGGCTGACTGCTGGGCATTGGCTCTCAGACACCCCAATTCCTTCCCCAGAAACTATCCCTACTTACAGAGCTGGTGGCATTTCAAAGTGGGTCCACCCCGTCCCCTCCAGACCTGCCTGGCCGAGCCACTGCTGCACTCACCCATCAGGACACTCAGCAGCTTCTGCACTCTGGAGTTGACCCCAACAATTCGGTAGAGCCCTTGCTCATTGATCCCTGAGAAGAGAAACATGATGATTCAATTAGAGGCACGGTAGGCAGCAGAGACGAGTGGGGCAACCTAACCAATTGCACTTTTTTCTTTTTTCATTTTCTCAGTCCTTCTAAAAGCTGCTCTAATGAAAGCCCCCTGTCACTCAGCTCAGCTCTGAGCAAAGGAGGGGATTCGGTACAGCTGTCTAGGATTGCACAGGTGTGCTGCACACTGCAGACCTCATGTTAGCTCAGTCATCGGAGGGGAAAGGAACTTTCCTCTTCTCCTGCCAAAGACGGCATCTGAAGACTTTTAGATGTGAAACATACTTTCAAAGATGTCACATTTAGCCAGTTTTTAACTTACAGAGCCAAAAGATGACATGATGAAAAATTCACACGACAGAAGGGACAAATATTTTACAATTTATTTTTACATATAGAATGACAATATTGAGGTGGGAAATGGTATTCAAGCTGGAGAATTTAGCAAATCCATCCATTTGTAAATACGTTTTATAGAAGAAGAGACAGGACAACCAGAGGGGATTTACTTTCAAACATCTGAACAAAGGATAGACCAAGAACTAATGCAGCACAGTGCTTCTGTTCTTTCTAAGGCATGAATTAGGTCACCACTATGTCACTGAAAAGAGAGGACAAGAGAGACCAAATGCTTCGAAAGGGTTTTTCTGCTGTTAGCTGCAGGCCTATCATATCTGATGCTTCTCAAAGAACAGGTCTCCTCCAGCCGATCTTATTCCCCTGAGAACCACTTTCCAATGAACAAAGTGAATTCTTAAACTCTTTCAAAGGCTTCCTACTATGTTTAGACCATCGTCAGACCTCCCTATGGGGACCTACAAGGCCAATGTCAGGGGTGGAAAGTGTCCAGCCACCTAGTCTTTAAATTCATTTGGTTTTGTCCGGCCAAGGCAACCAGAGGTGGGACTTGATATTGAACAAGTCTACAGCAGGCAATTTTTAGGTTGATAATTTTGCATTTTATAAATACCCAAATGGCCCTTGGCAGAAATCAGATTCCCTGTCCCTGGCTAGCACACTCAAACACCAGCCCACTATAAACACCTGGGCTATGCTTCAGCCACACTGGCCTTCCTCCAGCACACCAGACCCACATCTCATCTCACAGCTTTAGCCCCCACCACTGCTTGTACCTGAATGTTCTTCTCCTAGGTCTTCTGATCATGCAGGTCATTGCTCAAATGCAACCTTTGCCATCTAGCCCATCCTACAACCAACGCCACTGGTTAGTCATTCCCTTGTCCTGTTTTCTTTGTACCATATGAAATTATCTGAAATTATCTTTTTTACCTGGTTCCTTGTTTGTCTGTCTTCTTAAAATAGGAATATCAACTCTGAGTATAATGTAATCTGAGTACAGTGATTCTTATTCACATTTAAATCCCTAGTTGTACATGAATATAAGGCACATCCTACTGAATAAAACACTTGGCTATACTCTATCAAGGCCAGTAAATACAATGCTTGAGAGCCAAAATGAAGTTCTCTGCCAGAAATTCAAGGAGAAGCTGACTGTGCACGGTCTTATGCAAGACCTACAAAGAAGTAGAATTAATCAACAGAGGAAAATGGTCTGGAATAATAGGATTTTATTACTGAAAAGAGTCTCTAAATCATACATATCACCTGACATGGTTCTGATTTAAGAGTCCTTAACCAAAACTAAGGGATGAGTCTCAACCTACTGAGTGGAAAAACTTTTATTCAGTCATGAGTCAAGGGCTGGGAAAGGTTTAAAGTGTCTCTACTTCCTTTACCCACATGTTTCCCTGAGATTTTACACAATTCCTGCTCTGCTGAAACCTTCCTGATGAATTTCAGAGAATATTGGATGCTTTTTCACCTCTGGTCACCACAGACATGTACATACCCACGCACTGCAGTAGCACAACACCCAGTTCCTTCAGTAACTCATGCTGAAACAGCATTTAATTCACAAACTGTGCTCAGTGAAAACATTCTTAAAAATTACAACACTTTCATCTCTGTTTTGCAGAAGGGAGGGGACAAGGGGGCAAAGCACAAGACTCCTTCTTCTTCTGTTTATTGCATATCTTGGCTAATTCTAAATGCAAAAAGGTAGCTATCTGAGGTACTGGCATGCATTTATCTTTGTCCACATTTTAAAATCAGATGTTTCCAACTTGGTTTTGGATGCTGAAAACTGAAAGAAACAGGTGGCTCACCTCAACAAGAACTTCATGGGAGGTAGGGGGATGGTTGTTCTGGTCCTAGTTTTAGTTCTATTTTTATGCCTCCACTTTTAGCCATCTACCTCCTATACTCACACTTTAAAAAAATAAGAAAAAAAGAAACTGCTCTTAGAAAATTACCTTGGTTGGGCCCTATAGCCTAGTGGCTCAAGTCTTCACTTTGCAAGCACCAGGATCCCATATGAGCACTGGTTTGCATCCTGGCTACTGTACTTCCCTTCTAGCTCCCTGCCTGTGGCCTGGGAAAGCAGTTGAGGATGGCCCAAAGCCTGGAGACCCTACACCTGCATGGGAGATGCAAAGGAAGCTCCTGGCTTCAGAATGGTTCAGCTCTGGCCATTGCAGCCACTTGGGGAGCAAACTAGCAGATGGAAGATCTTTATCTTTCTCCTTCTCTCTGTAAATCTGACTTTCTAATTTAAAAAAAAAAGTATTTTAAATTACCTTAGTAATGTAAACTTCAAAAACATTTTGAGGCTGTAGTTATGAAATGTTTTTGTAACTAACTTACATATATTTGGAAACTATAGCTATGTGAAATAGATACAAGAGAGGCAGAGGGCAAAAAAGGAGCAGAAGCCAGTGAGAACACAGTGAGGCTGCACACAGGAGTTCCCCTCTGTTGAGCCCTGCCAAAGGCTCCATATGTAATGTAGCTGTTTTTATAAGTCACATTTTTCATGCACATGATTTTAAAAATGCTGCACCCCAGAAAAATTCATTCACACTGTATTTCCAGTATTCCCTAGGATTTTTGTTTGTCTGTTTTTTAGCTACATGAGGATACTGCTGTTGGTTTAACCAATTTCTCAGACACTTGGCCAGGTTCTGATTTTATACCTTAACAACACCATTGTGTAAACATTCTCATCATTCCATCTGTCTTTTCCTGATTTCCTCAAGATTCATTTGCAGCCATTTCATCTTCATCTACTTTAGATTCTCTGGGTATATTTTAGCTAGTTTTGCAAGCTGTCTTGACTCTTTGTTTATAAGGAGATATATATACAGCAGAAATCAGAAGACATCTTTGGAGATGTTTGTTCTACATTAAAATAATGAGTTTGGAAAGAGTAACTTTGATGGGACTCATAGCAGGCAAGGCTGGTTTCTTTTCTCTAATCTTGTTTATGTCATTACCAACAGGTTTATCTCTCAACTGCTAAGTTACACAGCCTGTCTCTGATTAAACATTTATTTATTGGAAAGTCAGATATACAGAGAAGAGGAGAGACAGACAGGAAGATCTTTCATCCATTGATTCATTCTCCAAGTGGCCACAATAGCAGGATCTGAGCTGATCAGAAGCCAGGAGCCTCTTCTAGGTCTCCCAAGCAAGTGCAGGGTCCCAAGGCTTTGGGCCATCCTTGACTGCTTTCCCAGGCAGGGAGCAGTTGAGAGCTCCTGCTTTAGACCATCATAACAAGGGGAAACACCAACAAAGGCTTTCGTCGCTGGAGAGTTAATGAGTCACTTAAAATTGGAAACTGGCAGGTAACTGCTCTGCCACCTCACCAGATGTATGACCTTCCATGGAAAACAATGCCATCTGTTAAACTACTTTACCTCTGGTTTCCACAGCATGGATGCATTTCCTGATTATGCTGAAGCCAATGCTGTCCAACTGTGCAGCTGAAAGAGCAAGAGAAGGCAGTCAAGTTGTTAGCTGTGCAATCAACCTCAGGATAAGAGTTAACTAAGATGGGGGGGAATCAATTGCATGGTACGGTCATGGATTCTTACTTTTCCCCACTAAAAATAGGAGAACAGTAATAGCTGGCACAAGACAAGAGCTTACCCTAAGTGTTAGCCTCAATTCTAAACACTTTACATGTATTATTCCATTTTCACATTTTTAAAATTTGTTTGATTCTCACAGTAACCTGTAGTTACAGTAATGTGCAAAGTTATCCTTTGAAGAAACCCCAGAACAGTATGACAGGTACCTTTAGATTGCTTTGGTTGCAACAGGAGCTGTCAGACTAACTAGTTTCCCACAGGCAGCATGAGTCAGGTGCTCTTTAAATGTTGGCTAAGTGTTTTACTTGGATGATCCCAACTGATCTCAACAAGTCCCCCAGGCAGAGGTTCCTGGTAGCCCCAGAGTACAGACCAAGGGACAGACTTGGTAAAGTGAAATATCTGGAACAATACTGATGAGCTAAAATGTGGAGCTGGATGTAATCCTGCTCAGGTTTTTTGAGAAAAAAAAAAGAAAAAGAAAAAGAAAACAAAAAAACAAGAGGGCGGGGGGGGGGGGAGGACGAGCAAGTAGAAACAGACAAATGATCCCGAAGCAAATTCAGGTAGCCTGGAAGAAGCTATGTGGAAAGGAACTAGTAAAGCTGCAGAGAGTCACTCTGTGTGAGAAATTAGCAGGGGCAGAGTTCTCCAAAACCCACTCCCTAAACTCCAAAACTACATGTCTACATCAGCATAGTCCCAGTTTCTCACCTGGCACAGTCGACAAACTCGGCTGTGCTCCTCCCTATGTGTTGACTACCCCACAGTCAGGCACATGAATGAATTCACCATCGGCTTCTTTAGAATTTTTAGGGCAAAATATACAAAATATAATGTTCCAAGTTGACAATGGAGTATCAGAAAGTAGGAGGGCAAGTATTTATAAGTGATTTGCTGTCATTTCAATATATGGTATTGATGAAAACTGAGTGAAACTAATTCATTTTGGATCTCATGCCAAATTCCTCAAATTCTTAACAGAAATGAACTTAGATCTAAAGGTGATTGCAAAAAAAAAAAAAAAAACCAACAACAACAACAAAAAAAAACAAAAACAAAAAACCCCACTAACTACTGAGAATACTGAGAATAAAATTGATACTATTTTCCCCACCTTTCTCTTTCCAAAGTAAAACAGGTCCATTGCTTAGGGTTACTTTTTACAAACACTCTCAGCCTCTAGGATCAGACGTCAAGCACCAGAACAGAAACAGTAAACTGTTCTCCTCCCTGGAGACTACCTGCTGCACAGGCCATTCTTATTCCTTGAAAATGGTAATGAGTCACTAAAGTGTCAACCCTTGCTTTTCCAGTATGAACCAAATATTTACAAATTGTGGCATTCTAGGCTTTCTCGCTGGAATCAGCAAGCCAAACCACAATATTTCTTCCAAATAGAACTCAACAAACTCACACAGTGGACATTTTTCTAATATAACAACAACTTATAATATGCGGGCCAAATACTGTTGAAATCCAGGGAAAGTTCATTCTTGAACCGTTTTACAGACACATAATTCACATACTGTAATGTTCACTCATTTAGTTGTACAATACAGTGGTTCCTCACATTATTTATAAAGTATGCATTAACTACCATACTCTAACTCCAGAATACTTCTGCTCCCCACTCCACCAAAATAAAACTCACACACATAAGCAGTCACTCTCCAGTGACTCTCCCAAACCTGGTAACCATAATTCTAATTTCCTTCTCTAGAAATTTGCATATTCTATATATACCTCACATAAATGGAATCATACGAGTTCTTTTATGTCTAGCTTCTTTCCCTTAATCCATGTGGTAGCATGGTGCTTTGTTCCTTTTTAATATTAAGCAATCTTCCAATGCTGAGACATGCCACGTTTAGCTGAGCCAGTCATCAGGTGACTGGCATATGGGCTGCTTCCACTTCTTGGCTATTAGGAACAGTGTTATCAAGAACATCTGTGTATAAGTCTTCTTCATTGTGTAGACACATATTTATACTTCTCTTGAGTCTGTAGCAATGTAGCTTAGCAGAACAGAACTGCTAGGTCACTGGATCACTCCATGAATCACTTTTTGAGAAACAACCAAACTTTTCCGAAGCAGCTGCATCATTTTACATTCTCACCAGCAACAGAGGAGAGGTCAATACTTCTACTTTGCTTTCCTATGATAGCCATCCTGGTGGGTGTCAAGTGGCATCTCATTGTGGTTTTGATTTGCATCTCCCTACTAATGACGCTGTGCATCTTTTCATGTTTAGGAGAGATTTTCATTCCTTTAAGCAGTAGTCAGAAAACAGAGCTTACTGGAAAGTATTTGTCAAATGGGAAATTATTTTTGGTGCTTAACGAAGTTTCCAACATTTTAACTGTGATTCCACAGTCGCTTGAAGCATTTTTATTCTTCTTTTGAGAGGCGAAAGACCATCTTTCATTTCATTTTTTAAATTATTATCATCATTTTATGATACAGTTCCATAGGACCTGGGACTTCCCCTATCTCCTCTCCTATCCTCCCTCCACCCCGCCACAGAGTTTTCCCATATCATTACAACAGCATAGTTTCTCATAAACAGTCATAAATCCATCACTGTAGGCATGGACAATTACAGAGAGTCCAGCATCCCATTGTCAAGCCATATCCAACAGTTTCACTTGATCCAAAAGTAGAAATGTACACTGCACTGTAGCCTCACATCTAGACAAGTCAGTCTCCACTACAGTCTCTATAAATGCCCCCAAGTTTAAAGCCACAAAACAAAATCAACAGGGAGAAAAATAGAAATTTACAATGCCATGAAGTTAAACAACATGTCACTGGATATGATAGTCTCCATTAAACAATACATCCCCTTAAGTGAAAAACCACAAAATAAAATCAACAACAGGAAGAAAAAAATAGAATAACTAATGTGTCACTGAAGAAATGAACTGTATGATCTATGAGTCAGTGAAGAATTTAAGGAGAAAAAAAGTGTTTTGAAGAAATGAAACTAAAAACAAAAACATCAAAATGTATAAGACACAGTTTCTGCTGATACTTGTGAATGAAATATGTCTCCTGTAGGCAACAAATAGATGGGTTTTGTGTTATAATCCAATCTACTAACCTAACATGCTTGAATGATAAATTTAAGACATTTACATTCAGGGTTAATATAAATAGGGTGGTAATTTGGTCCTGTCATCTAGCAATGCTTTGTTCATTGATTTAGTCATCTGTTGTTGTTTTACTTGGATGGTCTTCACATCTGCCTTTGGTTTGGGTGGGTGATATTCCTCTTCTCTGTCAAGAGAACATCTTTTAAGCATCATTTGTAGGACAGGTTTAGAAGAGGCGTATTCTTTTAACCTTTCTTTTCTGTGGAAGATTTTATTTCATTCTCAAAGACAAAGGAAAGCTTTGCTGGGTATGTTATTCTGAGCTGACAATTTTATGCTTTTAGAATCTGGAATATGCTGCTGTATTCTCTTCTGGTTTTAGAGTTTCCTGTGAGAGGTCTCCTGTGAGTTTAATTGCCATTCCTCTATGTGTCAATTGAGTTTTTTCACAAGCACATTTAAGGATCTTTTCCTTATGTTAGATTGAAGAGGGCTTGATTATCATGAGTCATGGTAAAGGCTGCTTTTGGTTAACCTAATTGGAATTCTGTGCCCCTCCTGGATGTTGTTTCCCAATTCTTTCTCCAGATTAGGGAAATTATCCTTTAATATTTCATCAAATACATTTTTAAACCCAGCTTCTCTTTCTCCCATAACTCTTACATTTGGCCTTTTAAGAGTGTCTCTTAATTCATCAATACTTTTTTTTTTTTTTTGGCTTGACCCAAGTCCACTTCCAACTTTTTGATTCTTTCCTCATTGTGACAAGAGATCTCTTCCAATTCTGAGATTCTTTCTTCTGCCTCCTTCATAGGATGATAGTCAAACAAGTCTGCAAAGAAGGAACCACCAATGTGCACAGAGCTCTGGGAGCTGAGGATGCTTCTGAACCCAGGTATCTTGAATGCGTCTGTGAGTATGGTTTTATTCTACAGTTTGATGAATTTTTATTCTGGATAAAGCCCATGATTATTAACAAGAGTCTTAGAAAACTGAAAAAACCTAACAAACTGAAAGTGATGGCTCCAGTGTGGCAGAAAACAATTCATGCAAAGTCATCCAGCACAACTAATGGAAGACAGAACTACTGTCTTCTGAGTGGACACAACCCCACAGAAGCAAATCAGAAGGTGAGCCAGAAGTGGGATCCTCTCCTGGGAAAGTAGCAGAAAAACTCCAGGATTCCATTCTGAATAAATATTTCTCCTTTTGTTTTCTCAGTGTTAAAGGCTCTCTAATCTACTTGAAACAGGCAAACTTCTTTTCCTAGATCAAGCACAAGTAATGCTGCATTAACATTATATCTTACTTGATTAACCTCAAGCATAATATATCATTTGTAAATTGGAAAATCAAGTGTTTGGAGTCAAGGAAACTGCTACCTTCTAAATGGATTCAAGCTGCATACTGATGTAATTACCTACAACTTTTATACAAACAAATAGCATTTTTAGAAATGGAATTCACATCAGTTACCCCAACAGGGAACTCATGAAACATAGTTTAGCAGGCACTGCCTAAATCTGCTAACTGGCCAGGCACCACCCTGTCTCTATCACCCTTCCTGGCACTTCCCCATCCCCATCTGTCTTTTCTCCCCCAGCCCTGGCCCCCAAAGCAAGCATACAGTTTGACTTTTATTCGCATCTACTCAAGTTTCTTGCTGACATCATGATTATGTTACTAATAATTAACAAGCTCTTTATTAGTTAACATGGACTGAGTCTCAGTAATGCAGTGTGCCCCGAGCCAGATCATTAGTCCTGATCTCTGTGCACTGGGTACATAATCTTAGT